TGTTCCCCAGGGGTCAGAGACGGAGATGGCCACAGCTGGCCCCAAAGGCTCTCGCTGCTGGATACAAACAACTCGGCTCTAATGTGTCTCCTAGACACCTCTGTGGCAAAGCCATGCTGATTAACATGCCCTCAGGCAAAGTGGTTCACCTTCAGATCCTGCTTATTTCTTCATTGTGGAAAAATATACAAACAAAATTCAGTGGCACAACCTGTAATCCCAGCATCCTGGGAGGCTGAGGCAGGAGAATCACAAGTTTGAGCCCAGCCTGTGCAGCTGGTGACTTTGGAGGAACTCACCAACTCTCTCAAAACCAAAAAACAGAGACAGGAATAAGGAGATGACGTGGTACAAAAGCCCTGGGCCCCATCCCAGGCCACAGAGAGGACAAGAAAAGCAAGGAAGGAAGGAAAGAAAAGAAGGAGGAGGAAAATCTTAGCACTTTGGAGCTGTGACTGTTTTAAGACATTCCAGGCTGCGCCCAGAGGCGGAGGGAACTGTGCCCAGGGCTGAGTGGGTTTGGAGACCCCTCTTTCACCCAATGGTGGGCTGTGTATATACCACCCCCAACACGCTGCTCCCCTCATGCATTTTCACATTTTCAAAAAACAAAACAAAACAACCCCTAAAAACTAGACTGTGTAATCTTTAAAAATGAGAAAGACTCAGCCGAAATTCACAGGACCCAGGACGGCGAGCCATTTTGAGGTGCACAAGTTGCTGGGGTTTGCAGTGTTATCCGGCCACCCTTCCTTATCCCCAGAGGGACCCCCAACCTGCTAAGCCGCGCTGCTATAATTGGTGAAGGACTCTGCCGTTATGTAATTCTCTGGCACCCGAGCAGGGACTCAGCTCATTCACCTCCACAGAAGAAACGCCGCCATCGCCCACAAACAGAACACATCAATATTTGTCCCTGACACACGCAGCAGGGTGGGTGACCTGGACTGCCCAGGTGACGGTGCTGTAGCTTAGGTTTAAGGATGGAAACTGCTACTGTGAGGTCAGCCAGGTGCCCAGTGAGGAGGTCCTGGACCTCGAGACCCAGGCTTGACTTGCACAAATACCTTTGGCTCTGGGACGGAGGATTTGCATTGTTTGTTTCTGGTCATCTTCTGGAAAATCACCGTTGCTCTTTCTCTTTACGGGATTGAGTCATGCTTTTTCCATGAACTGAGGTTCCTGTGCTGAGGCACCCCCCACCCCCTTCCGCCAGTGTCCCACTGTGGCGTGGCTGAGGTGGGGGGATGGTGGGCTCACATTGGGGAGACCCCGCTTGGTGACAATGGTGACCAGTGTCTGCATTCAGCTGGGAAAGCCTTGGACATGGTGGGTCGATCCCAGTGTTTTCTGCCTGTGAAATTCCTTGTACAAAGATCTACATGAAAGCCTCCGTGGTGAAATCAGAATCACCATGGGCGAGGAGACCTGGCTGCTTGGATTGTGGTGGCCCCCAGGCCTTAATGCTGGACATCTCTGGAAGGTCGGTTTTTATGTGACCTCCAGCAGCTAGGGAACACCAGACTGATGCCAGAATCCTCCACCGTGCCGCCCCACAGTTCCCGACACCTGCATCCCCCACAAGTGCCCTAGAGGCTCCTCCAGGCTCACTCACCCGCTCTGCCAGGCCCCTAGGACACTCTGTTTGGAGAAACCATCAGTTGCAGGCTGGACAGGTGACAGCCAGGCCCCTCTCGGGAGGCAGGCAGCTGCCTCCTCTCTCCCAGGCGCTCAGCAGGCTGGAGCAGTGGCCTGGCGGGGCCCTGCTCGGGGCTCCGGGCCTGGCTTTGACATTCCCTTCGCTTCCTTGGCTGCAGCGGCCACATGCACAGAGAGTCTGGAAGGCTCTCGCTGACCTCAGAGCACCCAGCCAGCATCTGTCAGCCATACTGATCAGAGTCTAGACCACAAAATACAGCATCTGAACCCCATCACGGGGACCCAACAGTGCATTGCATATGCTAGCATCTTAGTGTCTACCCCACTTGGCCTAAGCCCTCGAGGAAAATGTGGCTCAGTACTCTACACCCCAGGGTGCAGGGAACTGCATACAATCAGAGCTCAGGGCAAAATGAATGAGCCGGCAGTACGTGTCCAGTGTACGCTGGAGGACATGATATATAGGAGAGGGGGTCACAGCACACAATTTGGGGACATCTCTGGAGAAATGCCTGCACAATGGTCAGAGTAGTTGCTCAAGTTTGCTGAGTGACTGTGTGTGATTCCTTCCTTGAGCCTTATTTCCTTGAGCCTTCCTTCCTTGAGCCTTGAAGAAAGGTAAGAAAGGTCCTTATGTCAGAGGAAATCCTGTAGTGCATTCCATTTCGGGGATGCAGAGAAAGCCCACTGTTATAAAAAAATTCATCCCCAGTGTCAGAGGCCCAGCAGACATTAAATAAAAGTTTATGCTGAAAATTCCTAGAGAAAAATGAGATTTTAGCAAATCAAAACACCACTGTTTTGGAACCTGCCTGTGTACCTTGCGTGGAGGATACAAGTGGTGTGGCTGTGGTAAGCGAGATGGTAGCTAATGGACAGAAGTGTAGAAAAAAAGACAGCGTTTGTTTTAAAACTATCTTTCTAATGCTGGCGTCTCTTCCTTGGTCTGTCTGAGATGGTTTCACTGTGCAGGTCAGGCTGATCTTACACTCACAGCAGTCCTCCTGCCTCAGTCTCCTGAGTGCTGGGCTTATAGGCGTGTGCCACCACCCCCAGCGTGGTGGTGATTCTTCTTCCCCAAAGTGGTTTTGTGTCTTGGTTTAAATTTTTATATTTTATAAAGAACACCATTGGAGCTGAAGAAGGCACAGGCCCAAGTTGCCATGGAGAAAGCCTGGAGGTCTCCAGACATCACAGGGGAAACTGACACGTAGTGGGAGCCCAGCCATCCTGATCCGGCCTGAACATCCCCTTGGGGTTGACCAGGGGCCCTGGGGATGCTCCTCGCCCAGCAGGACAGAGTCTTGTTCTTCCGTGAGCTTGAAATCACCGAGAGGACTTCACTCAGGGACTTTCTTACCACTAAGCTGAGTCAGATCAAGCAGGAAGGCTGCGAGGCCTCCCAACACCCGGTGGGTATGCTGTACCATGAGGTCCCGGGGAAAGGGGGCCCCCAGAACAGGGAAAGTGGCTCCAGGGACATCACTGAGGGGTAAGGACACTTTGTCCACACTTTGGCCTCAAAACCCCACTTCCCGTGTCTTGGCATCTCTGGATTCTTCCAGAACACTGCACTTTGCAGCTCTCTGTTGCTTTCTCATGTCTGGAAGAGGGCTGTCTCGGGAATCGCGCTGTCTGTCCTCCGCCTCCGTAAGTGTAGGTAATTACCAGTGGGGAGGAGGTCGGTGGGAACGCGCTGTTCTTACATTTTAACTGAACAAAACTTTTCTCTTTCCCCAGACTCACAACATAAACGCCTTGAATTTATGTGGCGCCCTGGAAACTCCAGCCAAGTTCCGCTTCTCACTTTGATTTCCAACCTATGTGCTCTTCCGAGGAGCAAATGAGCTTCCTGGAGTTTCATCAGCAAAATCCGACTCTGCCAGTCGGGCGAGGTGAGCAGCTGTCCGTAGCTGTGGGTTGGCTTTCAATGGCTGGGTTCGCAGTGTCAGATGCTGGGAAGACTCAGAGAACTCACATATGGCAGGCGGGGGGGGGGGGCACCAATAAGGAATTCCAGCGACTTGAGGAGAAATAACCTCAAACCAAACAAACAAAGCACCTTCCATTGAATTTACACTGAAAGACCCAATTGGGTGAATGAAAACCAGAACAAAGCACCTCAGCAACAGGTTGATAAGGAGCGTTGGCAGAGGAACAGATGCTGGCAGGCCCAGAGGTTAGTCCTGTAAGTGCTCCTGATGGGAGGTGACCACTCACAGCACCTTGAATTTGCCATCTGTTTGTAAACACAATCAAGGAATGAGCTCACCAGCTCGTCCTGCAGCCCAGGGTGGGAAGGGCAAACCCCACTCTTCCCTTTTGGAGAAAGGGGCTCCCAGGAACTGTCAGGCGGGCCCCGGGCGCTGGGGGCCTGGAGCTGGCTCCTGCCCCTGACATCTCACCCAGTGTCCTCCAAAGCCCAGTGCGCAGCCTCGAGAGTCATTACATTGACTTGAAACTCTGGCAGTTTGCAAAGCAAATTCTTTACAACTGTCATAAAGGTCTCATTGCTTAAGTGTAATCTAGTAAAACTGCCAAGCCCCCTCCACACCCCAGTTTCTCAGACTTGCAAGGGAAGCGAAAACCGTCCAGTCAGTTGCAGAAGTGTCTGTACTTAGTTCAGAGCTTCTTGGACAAATATAGAGAAGATTCCAGAAGAGGTAATGGCACCTCACAAGAGATGATGTCGTGCTCCAGCCCCGGCTGGCTTGTGTTCATCCTCCTCTGCCTCCCACCTCCCACCTGGGCCCCTTGCCTCAGTTTCCCTGTCAGAGCCATTCCCTCAGCTGAGGGAGCTGATATAGCCCTTTTTGCACACAGTTTGGTACACGGGCGTTCAGAGCCCGCTGCGTTCCAGACACGACAGACGTGAGCATGAGAGTAACAGGCAGAGCCCCTTCCCTCCTGGAATTTATCTCTGGCAGGCTACAGGACAGGCCTTCATAAGCTTATTAGCACCAATTCACTCAGAGGTCATAGATCTTTGCCGATAAGTTGCACATTAGCCCGGGAAGGGTGTATTCTTCTCATGAACTTTGACATCTCACAGCTGTTGTGTTTTGCTCAACAATGTGGTTGGCACACAAAATGTGCTGCCAACAACATCTGAAGTCCAGAGTGTGCCCTGGCCAACCTTGCCCTTGACCTACCTGCCCATCAAGGCAAGGGATATGTTTTGCATCAGCAGCAAACGGGGTCAAAGTTTAGTCAATCAAAAGTTGTGTAAGGACTCACTCTGGCTGTTCTTGGGCCGGTGGCCACCCGACATTCATTAACAACTATCGGTTCAATGATTTATCTCCCCGGAGTTTATTGTGGTGAATTGGTCCAAAACATAATTGACGGTGGCCGTGGTCCAGCGACCTGCCCCCGACGTCAGAGCCAGGCCTCCCAGGGCAGCAGAGGGCAGGGCCATCCTCCTCCACGGTATTTAAAGCCGGAGGCTCTGCCACCCAGCGTGGCCTTCCCACTGGGAACACCCCTTGCCGGCGGGAAGACGGGGAAGCCCTCTGGGATCACCCAACGGGAAGAGAGGTGGGTCGAACCCTTTCATTCACAGCTGTAACAATTCCAGCAGCCGTGAGAACTCACTGTATTCTCCCTTAGAGCAGATAAGCACCTGGCCGGGGCAGTCCAGGGCACTGTCCCTGGGCAGTTTCGTTCAGGAAGCTTGTGGTTTCTGCTTCAGGTGAGCTCGGCACTCGGAGCCTTTCTTACACACCTGCAGAAATGCCTCCGCAGCTGCACAACGGCCAGGACCTCTCCTCCAAAGTCACCCACGGCAGCCTGGACAGCCTGCCTCGGGCAGTGAGGGAGTTCGTGGAGAGCAGCACGCAGCTGTGTGAGCCCGACCACATCCACATCTGCGATGGCTCGGAGGCGGAGAACGGGCGGCTGCTGGCCCGCATGCAGGAGGACGGCGTCATCAGGAAGCTGGACAAGTATGATAATTGGTGAGTTCCACGGCGCCCGCACCCGGTTCCTGGGTGTTGGTGGAGGGGTGATGGGGACACAAGCTGTTTGAAAACCACAAAGACGCCACAACGTTCACAGAGTTGCCCGTACTATCAACGGGATGCGCCTACAGAAACTCTTTGCAAAGTTGATTCCTGATAAAAAGGAAGGGCAGTCCCTGTGCTCGGGGGCTGCTCGGGTTTGGTGACTCCCTGGTGCTGGCCCAGCTGGTTTGGCTATTTGCACTGTGGCAGTGCCGCCTGCCGGGCACAGGAAGGGCCTGATGACAAGGAGAGTGGTCCGTTCCTCATGACGCCCGGCTGAATGTGGTTTTTGCAGTTGGTTGGCTCTCACTGACCCCAGGGATGTGGCCAGGATAGAAAGCAAGACCGTGATCATCACCCAGGAGCAAAGAGACACAGTACCCATCCCCAAAACCGGCCCCAGCCAGCTGGGTCGCTGGATGTCAGAAGAGGACTTTGAGAAAGCGTTCAATGCCAGGTTCCCGGGGTGCATGAAAGGTGAGTGGGGGTCACTTCTCGGGGTGACATGACAGCGAACCTGCCCCTCCATGTCTATCCTAGAGGGAATCGGAGCAGCAGTGCAAGCTGTGACCTCAGGTGTCTGTCATCTCCATGCACACTTCTGTTCTCGTTTTACGGACTCTTATGCGAGCACTGAAATGATTTCTGTGTGTGGATTTTAAGTAGCTTGGCGGAAAGAGCTGCACATATACGAAAACTCCTCGACTTTGGCAACGTGTTCACTTTCCAGTGGACTCTTACACTGGGGTCGGGGGGCCCACAGAGTACCGGGGACGTGACAGGGAGTCCCCAGTGCGAACCTCGGTGGTTGCCTGTGTGAGCCAAGGTCATTTCTCAGCTTCTCCCGCCGCTCTGTCCCTGCAGGTCGCACCATGTATGTCATCCCATTCAGCATGGGGCCCCTGGGCTCCCCACTCTGCAAGATCGGTGTCGAGCTGACCGACTCACCCTACGTGGTGGCCAGCATGCGGATCATGACCCGCATGGGCACCGCTGTCCTGCAGGCCCTGGGTGATGGGGAGTTTATCAAGTGTCTCCATTCCGTGGGCTGTCCTTTGCCTTTAAAAAGTAAGTCAGTTATTGTAAACTTGAGAGCTAATAAAGACTTCTAGATGTGCGTGTGTCTGCGGGGGGGCTATTTGTGGGTGTCACCCTCTAAGCAGGGACACACATGGCTTACTAACCTGGCCTGCACCCCGTTTACAGAGCCTCTGATCAACAACTGGCCCTGCAACCCGGAGCTGACGTTCATCGCCCATCTGCCCGACCGCAGGGAGATCGTGTCCTTCGGGAGCGGCTACGGGGGGAACTCGCTGCTTGGGAAGAAGTGCTTTGCCCTCAGGATAGCCAGCCGGCTGGCCAAGGAGGAGGGGTGGCTGGCAGAGCACATGCTGGTACCATATGGGGCACCCCAGAGTGCACGCTGGAGGGGGGCGGGTGGCATCAAGGAACCCCGTGACAGTTCCCTTTGGGCTTTGGTTCTTGGGTAGACTGGGCCATTCCATGAATAGCGATAAAGGCTGCAGCGCATGGCCCTTCTCGGGGGCCCCAAACACAGTGGGGACTAGAGAGAATCTTTGTTCTTTGAACTGGTTTGTCCTGAGGCCCAGAGAAACAGACCTGCCTTTTTGGAGTTCCACCACACTCCTAGACCTCTAGGGCAGAGACACTCTAATCAGAAACCTTGTTCCCGCAGATCCTGGGCATCACCAACCCCTTGGGCGAGAAGAAATACCTAGCGGCGGCCTTCCCCAGTGCCTGCGGGAAGACCAACCTGGCCATGATGAACCCCACACTCCCGGGCTGGAAGATAGAGTGCGTGGGGGACGACATAGCTTGGATGAAATTCGATGACCAAGGTGCCTCTTCCCGTGCTCATGCTGGGCTGTTAACAGTTAGATGTTAGTGTTAGAAGGGTGTTAATTTCCACAAACGCCTGCCTGAAAGCTGCGTTCTAAAGCCTGGTGGTGGTGGGTGTTTAATTCAGAGTGCAAACCTGAGACATATGCACTCAGGGGACATATGCATTCCTCAGTAGCATTTATCTGTATGGAAGTGGGCTGTGTTGATATTGAGATCGAAGAAGAAGAATGCATTGTAAACAGTCTCAATGTGGAATGTGATGCTGGACAAAATATAAAAGATAAGCAGACAAAATAAATAAAATAAAATGAAAGATAAGATAGATAGTCCAGGTGGGGAAAAAGGATTGGAGGATTTGGTCCCCAAATTAGCTCAACAAGATCCAAGAACCTGTGACATGCTTTGGTTTACAACTTTCCAGGTAACTTAAGGGCCATCAACCCAGAAAATGGCTTCTTTGGTGTCGCTCCCGGGACCTCAGTGAAGACGAACCCCAACGCCATCAGGACCATCCGACAGAACACCATCTTCACCAACGTGGCCGAGACCAGCGACGGCGGCGTGTACTGGGAAGGCATCGATGAGCCGCTGGCCTCGGGCGTCACCATCACTTCCTGGAAGAACAAAGAGTGGCACCCACAGGATGGTGAGCCCCCTCCGGAGGCCACGGGCTCCGAGCTCTAGGTGCCGCCTGCTGGGGTCGGACGCTAAGGGGCCTCTCCCTCCTGTGCCTTAGGGGAACCTTGTGCCCACCCCAACTCTCGGTTCTGCACGCCCGCGAGCCAGTGTCCCATCATTGACCCTGCCTGGCAGTCTCCGGAAGGCGTACCCATCGAGGGCATCATCTTCGGAGGCCGCAGACCTGCCGGTGAGGCTGGCTCCCATTAGGGCTGGGGAGTGGAGAGCTGGCAGCCATCTGGCCTTGGCCAAAGACCTCCCTACCCCAAATCCAGGACAACTAGCAAACTCAAACACAGAACCAACCTTTCTGGTCACCTAGAACCTTGCTGGATCTCTGGCCTAAAATAGCTTGGTCCAGTTTTACCGTTTGCTTTGTGGCCTGGAGGGTGTGAGACTTGCATTTTCTGCAGGCCAGCTTTGCAAATACAAAATTAGCTGCATTTTTAAAAATGTATGTGAAAAATACCCCTGGTCCTAAAGTCCAAATGTCACGATCTTTAAGGGCCATCTCTCTCTCTCTCTCTCTCTCTGTCTCTTTTTTTCTTATGAAAGGTGTCCCTCTTGTCTACGAAGCCCTCAACTGGCAGCACGGAGTATTTGTTGGAGCAGCCATGAGATCAGAGGCCACTGCAGCGGCAGAGCACAAAGGTAAATCAGTCAGGACCTGATTTTGGAGAGAGAGACAGACAGGTAGAGAGAGAGAGAGAGAGAGAGAGAGAGAGAGAGACACAGAGACAGAGAGAGACAGAGAGAGAGACAGAGAGAGACAGAGACAGAGAATGACGGTCACTGCCCTTCGGCCTGTCATTTACCCACGACCCTCCTCTGTTTAACAGGCAAGGTCATCATGCACGACCCCTTTGCCATGCGACCCTTCTTTGGCTACAACTTCGGCAGATACCTGGCCCACTGGCTGAGCATGGCTCACCGCCCAGCAGCCAAGCTGCCTAAGATCTTCCATGTCAACTGGTTCCGGAAGGACAAAGAAGGCAAATTCCTCTGGCCAGGCTTTGGGGAGAACTCCAGGGTGCTGGAATGGATGTTCAACCGCATCAACGGCGAAGACAGTGCCCAGCTCACGCCCATTGGCTACATCCCCAAGGAGGACGCCCTGAACCTGAAAGGCCTGGGGCACATCGACATGAAGGAGCTCTTCAGCCTCTCCAAAGAGTTCTGGGAGAAGGAGGTGGAAGACATCGAGAAATACCTGGGAGAGCAAGTCAACGCTGACCTCCCCTACGAGATCGAAAGGGAGCTCCTTGCTCTGAAGCAAAGAATCAGCCAGATGTAGTCAGAGGCCGAGGGATCCCCCTTTAGAAGCACCCCTTTTCCATCTGTGGGGTGCACTCACAGCAAGAGAAAGCAAGTCTTCCCGAATCCACAGCAGCTGTAATGTAGTGACCACAGCATTGAGAGGCATCTTAACTGATCAGAACCGCAGAGAATAAGCTAGTGAGTAGTGGCTGGGGAGGGGAATTCTTTGCAAGGCTCCAAACTTCACAGGCAGGGCATGTTCCGTTTCAGATTACTCAGGCATGTGGTGTCCCAGATTTTCACTTTAGCTGTATCAGGTAGCTACATTGCACAGACACAATACTTGAGCTGTACATATGTGTGTATGTGTGTGTGTGTCCGTATCTGTAGGCATGGTTGTCTAAAAGATATTTAATACCTTTGGAAAGATCTTGGGCAAGATTATTACCCACTAGTCACTAGAAAGAGATGTTGCTTTGTTACTAAAATGTGTGTTTAAATTATTTTTGTATACCATCCTTTTCTGACATTTACATAACTGCGATTTGTTTCCTTTAGCATTTCTTGGAGGGGGGGATTGCAAAATAAACTTTTATAGAAAAGAGGTGGGTTTGGTTTGCTTGATTTTCCCTGATGCAGCCGCAGAGAGCTCGCTTAGACAACCTGAAATTGCTGAATTTGCTGGCCACCACTAGTGGTCACCCTTTAGCAACATATCTACAGCCTCTGAGCTGCAGGGCTTAGCCAGCTGGACTGGGGACCTTTAAAGGGGTGCGTGTGTGCGTGCGTGCATGCGTGTGTGTGTGTGTGTGTGTGTGTGTTTAATAAAAATTTGGGTCTGGGGGCTCTGCCTTCCCCACAAATTGCACTGTGGGCAGTGTCACAGACCTTGCTTTTTAACACTTTTTCTTTTGGTACCCCTGTTTTTATCTGTCATCAATAAAATACTGGGCTAGAAAAGCATTTTGTTTTAATTTATTTTGCTGGTGCTTTTGTTTATTCAGTGCTGGTGACTGCACCCAGGTCCTTTGCACCCCCGGCCTCTGTTTACTTTCTATTTTGAGACAGGGTCTCGCTCAGTTGTGCGCTGCCCAGCGGGACTTGTGCTCTTCCTGCTTCGGCCTCCCTCAGGGCTGGGATCAGAGGTGGAGGCCACCGTGCCCAGCTTTAAAGGAAGACCAGGCCTCCGCAGCACCAGTGCCCACAGAGCTCCTGCCCGGCGCTGAGCTGGCGGGCCTGAGCGGGGAGGGAGTGTGAGCTGGCCCAGGCCACCCTGAGCCCTGCCAGGGCTCCTCTGCTCCCTGGATTTATTGGGTGTTCCAGAAGAGTCCAAACAAACCATAGCCTGCCTATGGCTCCTAGTTCTACAGATAAATGCTACTCCCTCCAGCTGTTTTTCCCTTCTGGGCCCAGCTGCAAATTAGCCTCGCCCTCCGCCACACCCCAGCAAGCAACCTGCTTCCACGTGTGCTAAGGCTCCCCGCCCTCCCCGGCCACTTGAGGTTTCCTCTGTCCCTCTGTCTTCTTTGGTTTGCTTTCCCACATGGACTGTGAAGCCAAGATCACTTCAGCTTTACAGGTGGGGAAACAGAGGCAGGGGAAGTAGCCAGCGACCCCTAGAGGTGGAGCATCAGACGCAGCTCCTCAGGACTGACTTAGCCTTAGACCAGCACGGCCGAGAGGACTTCGGTGTTACCTGCCCTGTTAATCTAGGCCAGTGGCCTGCGAACGCCTTTCACTTCCTGACCTCTTCTCTGACTCCAAAACCACACAGTGGAAGAGACAGAGAGTTGTTCCCCCAACGCTGGGGCAGGCCCCGGGCCTCTATCTGTCCGCTCCCTGGCACCCTTGTGGTTGTTCCTTGGGCCCCCAAAGAGGCTGCCGGGTTGTGATCGGTTGAAATGTGCCCTGGGTCCCGAGGCCTCTGGATCTTCTGCAAACACAGCGTCCTCCTGTACCTCCACTGCACTGGCCTCCAGTCCAGCAGCTTGGTGTGTGGCCATGTGGCCACCGGGCCCTGGAAACCTGGGGGAGGTGACACCAAGACAGGGAGAGTTCTCGGGGGCTCAGAGGACTCACCAACTTGCCGTGGCCCATGACTCAGTTTCCCCCAACCATGATGCTTGAGGTTTTGCTCTAAGTCTTGGTTTCTGTGCTGGCACTTGTGGGTATAATCACCAGGAAAGGGAGACCTCAGTTTTTACGGCCCTGGGTTGCCCCTGAGGCGGCCACAGGCAGGGGGCTGAGAGGACGCGTGGCTGTCACGGGAGGTGGGGAGTGTGAAGGTCATCCCGGAGTCCTCTGTCCCTACCCAGCCAACTGCACAAGGCAAAGGGCCTGAGAACCGGCCCGGGGTTGTCCCCTTCTGCTGCCCCGAGCTCCAGGAGTTGCCAGGGCCGCACGGGAACCTGGCGAGGGTGCGGCAGGACCCCGTCAGCACTGATGGGATGCTGGTCCTCTCTCTCCTCTCCCTCTCTGTTGGCCTAGGCCTGACACAGATCCCCGGGCCTCAGATGTACCCTGTGGGTGTCACACAGCACAGATGCGGTGCTAAAACCAAGAGCCTGTAGCCTTCCCTGATGGGCAGCCCTGGTCTCCTCAGCTGTGGAAGTAATGGCCCAGGTGAGCCACCAACCAGCACGGGCTGGCCGCCTGCCTCCCCGCTCCCCCCTTGCCTGGGGAGACTGACCCTGGAAACCTGGGATACACCGGGCCCCTATCCCTGCCCTTGGTCTGCAGACCCCTCTGCCTTAGGGACAGTAACACTCTGGGGGTCCCGGGAGAAAGCAGTGAAATAGCCCAGCTCCATGGGAGTCACAACCCGCCCTTAGGCGATTGCACAAAAACCTCTGTTTCCTCAGCTGTAAAATGGGCACAAGACTATTTGTACCTTCCTGGGCAGGGGGCATTGAAAAGATCAGCTGAGATGCTTGCTGCAAGAGGGTTTGGCACACAGAGGGGACCCCAGGAGGGCAGTGCTCCCCGCTTCGGTTTTACTCTAGCTGGTGGCTGTGTTGGAGCAGCGTCAGGGACACGACCTGTGGCAGGCGTGGTGACCGGCTCTGACTTACACCTCTGACCCTATGGCTACTCTGGATTTCAGGAGAAGGAGGAAGAGGATCAGGAGGAGGAGGAGGAACAGGAGGGGAGCAGTGTCTCCCGGGAACACGGAGGACCTTTTCCCCTGGCACAGTAACCCCCACCTCTCAGCCAGCTTTCTCCTTCTGAAGATTCCAGCAAAAGGTCCTGAGCTCCTGTCCTGTCTTTCTACCTCCCAGAAATGCGTCCTAAGAGAAAAACAGGTGCAGCCAAAAAGATTTCATAGTAAAAGTGTTCATTATGAAGTCGTTGATCACAGCCAAAAATTAGGACCAAAGCTAAATGCTTGGCAGCAGCTACTCACCTGGAGAAACTCCGGCTCCCCCAGGATGGACACCTGGACGCCATTTCAGATGACTCCGTTCGAGAGGATTATTGTCACACAATATTTGCCACCTACCGTCACTGGGCAGGTAGATAATGAAAGTGTAGTGGACACTGGTGCGTCTCTGTGTAGGAAGAAACTCTCAAAAGTGTATAATGAAACAGTCTCCTCTGGGTCCAGAATCCTTCTGGACAGCTGGAGCCTGGCTGGGAAGGGGACGAGGCTGCACTGTCCACATTGTCCCTGTGCTCAGCCCTTGTGCCTTGCCCCGCAGGCTCATTCAGCGCAGGCCTGGTGTGAACACGAGGCCAATCAGACCCAAGAGCAGCGCCCCTCCACCAGCTGAGCCTGAGAGTTTGCATGGTGGAGCTGGAGGACCCACCCAGCTAGTGAGGACAGCCACCCCGAACCCCACTAACCTCCTCCATGTATCACCCCCAGCCCACCCACGGGCCCCAGCCCTTCCTGCACAGAGGGGCTCCCACCCTGGCTCCATTTTTCCTGCTGGGAGAAAAGGAGACATGGGACGGAGACATTCCAGCTGCAGTAGAACAAAGCATACAAACTTTCTCTAGCTGCCCAAATCTTGGCCTACACGATTTGTTTGTTTTTTTTTTTTTTTTTCTTTTTGCCCCTGCTCATGCAGGGCGCTGGGGGGAATACAGTGAGGCTCCCTAGGAAGGGATCTTCAAGACACGGGGCTGTATGCAAACTGCCTTAGGGTGATTGGGAGGGTGACAGGCAGGTGACCAGCTCACAGCCCACTCAGGCTAATTATCAGGGAACCACGCACCACCTTTGCTCTGCTTTCCGGGCCTTGGGACAGTGGGATAAAGCTCAGACATTCTCTGATGCACAGAGTTGGGGTTTGGGGCCTCCTCGAGGAGCAGTGGATGTCACCTGGTCCACAGTAGCTCTGATGAGGGGTGCAACACATTAGCCTGGCTGGCACCTGCCAGCGTCGTGCCATTGATGGGGGCACTCAGCCCATGCAGCTCTGGGTCCCTGCAGCCCCGCTTGGCCTCTGGTCCCCTGGTCCCCTGGTCCCCTGGTCCTTTGGTCCTCTGGTAATGGTATATGTAAATGCAAGTGTTTGCCTGCCTGAATGGCGGAACTCTTCTCTAGGCGAAGCAATTTACAGCAAAATATGCTGTAAATATTTGTTCAGCCCGGGAAAATGACTTTAATTGCATAATTAAACTCGTTGTAGATGCTACTTCCGGACAAAACAGGGGGAGAAGCCAGCCCACAGCTGTCCCCGGGAGTTTGTTGACAGAAGGGACCGGCTGCTGCCTGCAGACTTTGCTCCAGGCCTTTCCACATTGCAGGGGCAACTTTGGGGACAGTCTAGGCCAGGGCAGACCAAGGAAGGAGTGAGAGAGAAGGCGGCTGCTGGACAGAGGAGGGAGCAGAAAGTTCCTGGAGTCTGGGGCTGACGGGGTGGAGCTCGCGGACCTGTTTTCCTAAGGTCTCCTGCAAACCCACCTTGCAGGGCCCACAGGACCCAAACTCACAATGATCTTCCTGCCTCAGCCTCCCAAGTGCTGGGGTTATAGGCGTAAGCCACCACGCCTGGGTGAATCATGCATTTTTGAATGAGTGGATTTTACAGTATGTGAATTACAGCTCCATGAAGTTTAAAAAAAATAAGCAAAAGTTCACTTAGTTTGGATTAGAAACCAACTGCTTGCCCCAGGCTGGGAAGGCCAGGTTTACCAGTTGGAGAAGCAGAGGACAGAAAGGCTTCTGTTCCCTGATATCCTCTCCCGGAGCCTGTCGGGGATTCAGAGTGGAAGGGGGTGCACTTTCTCAGCACTGAGGGGTGAGTGGGCTTCAGTATTGGACCAAGGAGCCTGCTGAAGTCGTCATGAGCCTCAAAAAGCACCCAACCACAGATCGAATGAGACCCCGAGGTGGCAGAGGCCGGAACCCGCCAAAGTCCCTGGGTCAGCAGGTTGCCAGGAGCCTCCACTCCTAGGCTGTCGGTCACAGCCCTGAGTCATGGTCCTGATTCCAGGAGGACAGGCACAGGGTGCAGCCCTGGACCCAGGGGTGCCAGCCACAGCAGGACCATTGCCCACCCCATAGCAGAGAATGGAGGAGCTCAGTGTTAGCACTAAGTCCTCTGGTATGTTCTGGGAGCAGTCCCTTCCTCTCTGAGCCTCAGTTTCCCCCACTGGACAAGTGCTATCCCTGACTTCTGGGGGAGCTTTTCCTCTGGGGGGATGGAGTCACATGGCTCTTTGGTGGGGCCCCTGGACCTGGAATTTAGGGGCAGGAAGTAGCTTAGTGGTAAAACACTTGACTGGATTGCTCGAGGCCCTGGGGACAGCCCCAACACTGCAAAAAAGAAAAGAAGAGGTTAACTGGGATTCCAGGAGCCCCGCACTTAGCATCTTCCAGGCAGGTGAAGAAACCTGTCCTGTGGCCCAGAGGGACGGTGTGTGCCCCAGGGACACTGTGGCATCCTGTCACCTGCCGGACCAACTGGAGCCTGCCTGCCTTGATGGAGAATTCTCTGCTCAGACCGAGGGTCCTG